ACTGCAGGTCCTTCCATCAAAGATTCCATAATTAGTTCACCTTATTTCATTCTCTCGATAAAGTTCAGAAATTTGTCTCTCTACTGGTTGTAGTCTCCTCTAAACAATACTGGTGGCTTGGTGTCAGTACCGATAGCCATTGCTTCTTTTGAAATAATTTTATCAGATAAGTATGATATCGAATCTACTACAGTTCAAAATTTGATTTAAAGGATTAGAATTCAAATTTTATCTCAATAAATCGCACACAGGAAATTACACTCATTCAAGACTTAAAAAAATTAAGCACACAGACTTATCCAGATTAGAAGTCCGGACAAGCTTATTCGGATTAGATATCCGGACAAAAAGATAGTCTTAAGATTTCGAATCAAAACAAGTTATCCGGATTAGATATTCGGACAACAAATACAATCAAGCTCGCACAATTCACAACAAATCTGGATGAGAAATCCGGTGATTTTAAACACTTAGTCAAATTCGCACAAATTCCAAAATTGAATACGGACGAAAAAAGTCAACAAGTCAAGTCAACCTAGTCAACAAGTCAAAATACGAACAAATCCGCTCAATTTCAAAATCAACAATTTAATTCGCTCAAAAAGTCAACAAATTCAATTCGGTCAACTAGACAAAGATATCAAACTGCTCAACAATGAAAGTCAAAACCCGTTCAACAAATCAAAGTTAAAGTCAAAATATGATCAAAAATTAAATCGCATACAACACAATGACCAAGATTAAATCGCACAAATAAATCGCACAACAAATCAGACGGATTAAACTAAATGCTTACTAAATCGCACACGTTACAAACGATTTACCACTAAATCGCACACACCATTGAGCGGTTTAAAACTATATCAATCAAGTTTTAGCTGGTTTATCCTAAATCGAACAATCACAATTCATAAAATTACAAGACTTAAATCGTACAAGCACTAGGCGATTTACACTAAACCGATCAAGAGTTATACGGATTAAAATTCAACCAAAAACACAATTTTAACACTTTTTAACCAAAAATTTGGATCAAAACATGCAAAATTATGAGTTTTTGAATAACATAATTTTTTTTTCGTAAACTCAAAAATCGATAAAAAATGATTCAAAACTTGATTAAAATAAAAAATGATGTGAATCAAAGATGTTCAGATTGAAAATGCGAATCTACTCAAAATTGATGCGATTAATGCAAAAAATATGCAATTCGGTCAAGAACAATGATGAACAGATGAAGAACAGTCCGATTCAATCCACTAATTCTGTACAAATTTCCTCGAAAATTTGAAAATCCTCTAAACAAATCGCTGCAATCTGTGCTCTGATACCAATTGATGTTCCCAAAATCATACAAATCAGATTTAATCTTCAAGAACAAGAACAAGATTGAGTAGAGAGAGAATTTCACCAAATATTGTATTGTATTTCTTGAGAGAAAGTACAAGATGATTAACAGCTAATCTGGAAATTATGAACTGAAATAATGACAATTAAGAGACTAAATCCTATTTGTACTAAGGAAATAGTAAATGCTAATAATTACAAAAACATTACAATATGAGAACTTGAATACAACTTTAAAGCGCATTCTTGAACCCAACATAAACTATTGTTCAAATGTTGACTTTTAAAAGTTTGACTTTATAAAATTCTTTTGGTAATTTTCACCTTGTTAAGCTACCAAGGAATTACTCATTAGACCTTATGGTCTAACCCTCATTTTGTTTTCAAAAAATGTGCATTCTCTAAAGTCTACAACAAACAAGTGGGAGAGGCAGGATTCTCTCTTAGTGCAGTTCGGTAGAACGTGGGTCTCCAAAACCTGATGCCGTAGGTTAGTCGAACCTTAACTCAACTCAGGAGAGAAAGAATCCACTCCCTTTCAAGACAGGTGCATCCGGAAGGTAAAGGAAGATGTGATTACAAGTGTTATAGCTTTACATATGGTTATATGTTGAACATAAGTTGTGTGGAAATTGTTTATTACATGAATTTTTAAATCTGTTATATTCAAGTCATGTAAACTAGGCAACAAGTTTGTAGTGACTTTTACAAGTATAGTTGTGTATATTTTGGACCAATATGTATTATTTGAAATTCATATTATATGAAACATGTATTGTGTATGCAAATTTGAGGATGCATTGTTACATAAAGATCCCAACAAATTATGCTTCTCGAGTCTCTGGTTGCCATTAATACTAATTTCATGACACCCATTGTTTCTAGCATGTTGGGCATTAGATTAAATTGGCTCCCTTAAGTTTACATAGTCAAAAAAGTGGCGTTTGATGCTATGTTGTATCAAGTAGGTCGCGAATTACCCTGTTATGGTAGGGGTCAGATTTGCCTACACCTTACGCCTCCGAGATAGGCATGGGAATGGGGCAGGGACCTCATCTCCGTCCCCGTCCCCGTCCCCGATTACTTATCTCTATCCCCGTCCCTGTCCCCATCCTCACCGGGGATTATAATCACATCCCCATCCCCATCCCCACCGGGGATTATAATCACATCCCCATCCCCATCCCCAACGGGGAAACGGGGATTTTTTCCCGTTTATACAAGTTATTTTGAATTAAATATGTGAGAGACTATAAATGTTTAAATCTCAAATATTTTCAATAAACCTAAAATCAAAATGAATTTAATTTAATACAAAAAAACCACAACATCATATAAGAACTAATAACCTAAAACAAAAAAAATCAATTTAATACAAAAAAAACTTAAAGTCACATGTACCATAAGATATTGAGTAATATACAACCATATCGAGTAATATACAAAACTTGTGAGTAATTGTATTTTGACTTGACATCCAAAATATTACATATTAACATCTAAAAACTAACAATTTTATATTATAAACCTAGTTAGGAAATAGAAAATTATTAATTACCGCTTTAGTTGAAATAATATATATATATATATATATGTATGTATATGTATATATGTATGTATATGTATATATGTATGTATATGTATATATAACGGGTACGGTACGGGACGGGGCGGGGCGGGAGTACCATACCGTCCCCGTCCCCATCCACGGTTTGAGACAAACGAGGATCCCCATCCCCTTCCCCATCCTCGATTTAGCGGGGAATCTCCGTCCTCGATGGGTCGGGGCCCATTCCCATGCCTACTCCGAGACCCTACTTTTAAGTAAGATTTATTAGATCAATTTGGTTTGTTTTGTTTATTATCTTGGGTTGGGTTGAGTTGGGTTGGGTTGGGTTGGGTTGGATTGAATCGAATCGAATCGGTTAGCCATTTTTTCAAAAGTTTTTGTGCAACCTTAGTTGTTATAAATTGATGATTATTGTTATTAAAATTGGAAAAGAGGGCAAGATGGAGATTAAGTTAGAAAGAAGGGGTAAAATGGGAATTTAAGTAAGGAGATGTGGGATTCCGCAATCCTGTTCATGTGATTCTTCCTCCCACTAATTTTTAGGTCTCCAAACATGAAAGCTTTTGAAAAAGGTAAATCTTTTGTCTCATACATATAATCCTTAGCTATCGATTTTACTGAATTGCAATAAATGCATTAAATCTTGTAGACTTTCAAATATTTAAATACAAAAAGGATTTTGTTCCTTTACTGTTTCCTTTGTTAATTTTCTTCCTTTAATGTTTCCTTCATGCTGTTTTTATTTGGGTTCCCACTCTACACACAGTTTTTGACCGTTGCTCTCTTTCTCTCTCTCTCTCTACAAGGGTTTTGACTTCCTTCTCTCTCTCTAAGAAGGGTGTGTCTTGAGGGGTTTCTTTGTGTTCTTGAACCCCATCTCTCTCTCTCTCTCTCTCTCTCTGAGCTAAAAAGTATGTGCTCTTGAAGCGCCTCTCTCTCTCTCTCTAAGCTAACAAGTATGCGTTCTTGAAGCCCATCTCTCTCTCTCTAAGCTAACAAGTATGTGTTGAATTGAGGTAAGAAGACTCTTTGATTAATCCCATTTTCACTTCTCTCCTCTCCCCCTGTTTTCTTGATTATTTATTCATTTAGTTTCTCTTCATTTTATCTATGAACACTTGTTAGTTTCATCTTCAATTCTTGATGCCCATCTTATTTTAAAGGTTTAATATTGATTCCATTGTTGCTTTGCATCATGATTTTGATTAATTTTTACAATCACGTTAATATCTGATTTAATATATTTTATCAAGTTTAATTGTGAATATTATATATTTTCTGGCAATTTTATTGTCTAAAGGTTTTAGGAGAGAAGCTTTAGTCAAGAAGAAGCTATACTTACTGGGCATTTTTTTTAATTTTTCTTTGGAGTTTCCCTATGTTGTTGTAATAATTCCCTTTTCCTTTCTTGATCAATTGCTTTAATTAAAGCTAAATTAATTATAATTTTTTATTCCCAAAGTTAAAAAATTATGTTGTTTTCACCCATGTGATCAACTCTGCAAGGCTGCACCTTGTACCTCTTTTGCTTTTCTAATCCAAACAATATAATTTCTATATTTTTCTAACTAACTATTTGTTTCAGAAAAATAATATATATATATGCATTATCTTGTGTATTTTGTAGTTTATTTCCATCAATTAACTTTTTCTTCCTATTGCTCGAGGCTGTATCATCTTCATGACCAAGACCGGGCAAGTTTTATTTTTTTTTCCAAACTTTGACTATGGAAGTTAAACTTATGTTTGCAAAATCTTCAATTAAATGTATAATCTCACACGCTTTACATAATGTTTCTCAAATTTATAATTGTTATTTCATGTTTTGATGAAATCATCAAGTAATTTCTTCAGAAAGAAAATATTTCTTACAAAATTCAAGTTTAAAAACCATTTAGTTTGACCTTCAAAGTCAAAGAAGCAAGTATTTTCCAATCCTTGTGGCTATTAATGTACTTTATTCTCATTTTGCTTCAATGGAACAGCGCTTAAGATCCCTCATGAATCTGATAAAACCCTCAACAAGACTTGCAGTTGATATTCAATCTGATTTGAATCATAACAACTCCTAAAAATCAAAGAAATGGGATGTTCTTCGTCGAAGCTGGACGATGAAGAAGCCGTCCAGCTTTGCAAAGACAGAAAAAACTTCATCAAGAAAGCCGTTGAACATAGAACGAGATTCGCATCTGGTCATATGGCTTATCTTCGATCACTTAAACGACTATCTGCCGCCCTTAAAGACTACGTTGAAGGCGATGAACCTCGTGAATTCTCTTTAGATTCCTTCACCACACCGCTCGTACCCACGACCAAGAAAATCACCCAACGGTTCGTCACTATTTCACCGAATTCCTTCACCATCGAGCCCAAAGTGAACTACCTTCGAGCTGGGGGTGTGAACCCTACTGTTTTCGTTCAAGAACGGCCTCCGGGGTCGCCTGAAACCGTGCGAGTCGAGTCGTTTAACCAATCTTCGGTTTACCAGTATGCAACCGATAGTTTCTTTCCGATGCAACCACAATCGCCACCTTTGTCTATCTTTCATTCCAGCCGACCAAATTTGCCGCCCCCTTCGCCTCAAAGATCTTCACAATGGGATTTCTTTTGGAACCCGTTTTCGTCTTTGGATTATTACGGGTATCCCGCGACAAACAGCGATCATCAGAGCGTGTTCGATGATGATATCAATGGATTACAGCAAGTAAGAGAAGAAGAAGGGATTCCAGAACTCGAAGAAGAAACAGAACAGGAAGAAACTGATAACCATAGAGTGATCAGAAGAGCCAAAGTTCACGTGAATTGTGATCACGAAGATGAAGTTACGGTTGAAGATGTTGATGACGATGATGAGTTTGAAACGGACGGTGGGGATGAAACGGAAACTGAACACGAAGCGGAATCCCCGCCATTGACGAATAAAAGTCAGAATCTTGAGGTTTCGAAGGCACAGAATTTAGGGGAAGTCTCAAATAATGGAACGGCAGAAGTTGTTTCGAATCAAGAAAGCGCTAAAATCGAAGGGACACCAGGGTTCACGGTTTATGTGAATCGAAGGCCAACGAGCATGTCCGAAGTTATTAAAGATCTTGAAGCTCAATTCACGATCATCTTTGATTCAGCGAAAGAGCTTTCAGCTATGCTAGAGGCTAACCGGGCTCATTACTCATCAACCTCACACGAACTCACAGGTTCAAGTTCAGTAGGTCATCTTTTGCGACCATAAGAAAGCTTATTGAAAAAAACATGTTTGGTTAGCTTATAAGATTTTTTAAAAATAGCGTTTCAATATGTTCGAGGACTTTTTTTCACCTTTTTCCGGTTATGTCTTATATATTTTTCCAGTTAATCTTTTAACATGTCTTGTTGTACTTGTGATATATTTTATTGGCTAAGCTAGTTTTTGACTGGTTTATCAGTCAACAACTATCTTATGAGCTAACAGCTCGTTTGTAGAACATAGCCTTAGTTATTACTTTTTGATGCTAATTTTCAGGTCATCTTTCGTACTTTTTTGTTCTACAGCTATGAAGATATTAAATCCCGTGGCTTTACTGCGTTCTGCATCATCTTCTCGCTCAAATTCATCGAGATTCTTGATGAACTCTTCGGGCATTTCAAAAGATGAAGGTTATGCTAGCAGCAGTGATTTGTCCGATGAGTCTAGTTTGTTTCACAACAGTCATCAATCAACGCTCGACAAACTATATGCCTGGGAGAAAAAACTCTATCAAGAAGTCAAGGTATTTGATGTTCATCGAACATACCTAGCCAAATCGGTTTATGTTTAATGAGCTTAATCGGATTCATAAGTTAGCTATATATGATTGTTTGACAGTGGCCTAATGATATAGAAAGTGACTTATTCAAGAGTGCTTCTATGCCCCAAGATTTTTCCAAACCTGTCTCACCCAATTAAAAAATATTCTCGTTCCATATATTGAAAAACTCTTCCAAACAAAAAACTTTCCAATCTATACAGATTAGATAAATCGACATAAACATCTTTATCTATATAGGACTTAATGAAAAATCAACCAAACAGCCCCAGTGCCCTGATAGATTGTTTTATAGTTCGTAAGTTTATAGGACCAAACAATTATTCGTAGTATATAGAGGTGTTTTAACAAAAAAAATTAGGATAATTTTGAAATAAAGAGTCATATTAATCTCTTCATATGACATTATCTGAAAAGTTCTAATAGGGAATTTATTTCAAAAGTATCTTTAAAACCTTGATAGGATGCTCAAACGCGTCATAAAACCTATTGTAACACCTGGACGTACAATTGTTATATCCTATAATGCTGTCTATTAGGACATTTAGATATCTTTGACATCTTATATAGACCTCCTTGTTGTAGTGATTTACCACTAATTTAGTGATCGTGGTTTGTTTTGGCTAATTGGACAGGCTGGAGAACGGGTTCGTATAGCGTACGAGAAGAAATGTGTTCAACTTAGGAACCATGACATTAAAGGTGACGACTACTCTTCGGTCCATAAAACAAGAACGGCCATTAGAGATTTGCATACGCAGATTAAGGTTTCTATACACTCGGTTGAAGCCGTGTCGAAAAGGATTGAAACTTTAATGGATCAAGAACTTCAGCCACAACTTCTCGAATTGATCCAAGGGTATTATTGTCAGCTTCTAACTTCAAATCCCTTACCCACAAACAGTTTTTGGCTAATTCCACCTTATTTTAAAATAAGGGGGTGTTTGGGATTGTTTATTTAAAACAATTTATGTTTTTTTACAAAAGCACTTATTAACTTATTACAACGCAGAAGGGTTTAGCTTTTTCAAAAACTTCTTATTACCGGTTTGGCACCGGTATAAGTTGTTTATCCAAATACTCAAAAGTGCTTATTAATGATATCACACCGGAATAAGTTAATAAATTATTTTTATAAGCAATCCTAAACACCCCTAACACTCTTTTCACAATTATAAGTAAGTTTATTTTTAAAGCATATGAGAAAATTATCTTTTCACAATTATAAGTAAGTTTATTTTTAAAGCATATGAGAAAATTATCCAACTAGTGTTTAAGCTAGTCTATGAAATTAATTTTTTGAAAATCTATTTTAAATAGGGGATTTTTTATTTTTATTTGATTATATTCCTGACAGATTATTCAAAATAAAGAAAGTAGATATTTTAATGATTTTGAACAAATTTTTGCTTCAACGTGTTCTCGAAAATAAAAAAGTCTAAATAATTTAGAAATTTTCTAATTCATATAATATTTTATTAAATAATATGTAAGATGTCTAAATAATAAAATATTAAAATTAAAAGTATAATGTTGATAGTACATTATAAGGTTATAATACGTGTGGATAGCCTATGTGTATAGTGAGGTGGCATGGAGATATGGTATAATGAGTAAATTTAAATCAAAAGTTTACTCAAGGTTATAATTAGTAAATTTTTCAATGTTCTAATAAAAAATAATTTGAAAATACATTGTTGATATAAGAAAATATATGAAAGTAATTGTGCATTTCCCCTTTTTTATTACTTTTGTTAAGGAGAAGGTTTAAATGCTTAAGACAAAGAATAAAATGTTTATTAAATATTTTAATAATATAATTAATGTGTAATATTCGGCATCTAACTGTTGGAATTGGAAATTTTGATTTTTGTTTTGTCTATTTTAGATAAAGTTTAAAGAATCTGTTAGAGATGTCAACTCGTTTTTATTAAATGGTAGTAGTTTTTCTCAGTTAGTTTGCCAAACATGTTGTGATTATGGATCGGCAAAGACGCCAAATTTTTGATGAAAAATGCGCAGGTTATCACGAATGTGGAAGGTAATGGCCGAGTGTCATCAAAATCAGAAGCGAACCCTGGATGAAGCCAAGATGTTACTAGCCGGGACCCCCTCGAAACCGAAGTACACACCAATTCATTCTAGTGAGCCACACCGGCTATCCCGCTCGGCTTCCAATCTTGAAGCTGAGCTACAAAACTGGAAATCTTGTTTTGAATCATGGATCACATCACAAAGATCCTACATTCATGCAATCACAGGCTGGTTACTACGGTGCACCGGATCGAACTCCAACAACACCTCAAAATTCCCATTCTCTCCCCGTAGGTCCACGGGGGGCCCACCGATGTTCGGAGCCTGCATGCAATGGTCCAGATTGCTCGACTCGATCAGTGAGGTCCCGGTGCTGGATGGGCTAGACTTTTTTGCAGCAGGGGTTGGTTCTCTATATGTACAAAAGTTAAAAGAAGGAGGTGGTGGTGGTTCGGGACGGACGGAAATTGGATCATCGAGGCGGTATGGCGGCGGCTCTGGAATGGAGATGGTGGAGAGCGGGCGGCCAGAGGAGGAGGAGACGGCGGAGAAAATGGCTGAAGTTGCAATTAAAGTATTGTGTGCTGGAATGTCTGTTGTTGTGAGTTCTTTAACAGAGTTTGCTCTGTGTTCAGCCCAAGGGTATTCTGATTTGGTGAAGCAGTGGGAGAGTGCCAAGTGTCCAGAAGGAAGTAGTGGGGCCAAAGGATAATATCTCGGATTCTTTTGAATCTTTTTATGTGGGCAGTTAGTTTGGTAGGTGTAATTAGTTAAAAGAAATATTCTTTTTATAATATATTAATTCATATATATATATATATATAGAGAGAGAGGGGGGATCAAATGAAAACCATTTTCATTTGTGAAAATCTTATAAACCAATCTCATCCATCTATTTTCTTGATCAATGGTCAAGATTAGATTAGTTTATATTAAAAAATAAAAATAAAAAAATAAAAAAAAATAAAAGTTTATTTTTTAATTGAAAAAAGAGCAAAAATGTAAAACATCAAAATCTATAACCAAGGCAACAAGATCATGTATATCATAATATTAATGAAACAAAATCATTGTTTTAAAAAACTATATATATCATCTTATCTATACTATCTTATAAATCATTTGGCTAAAACTCTTAAAAACTCTTAAAAAATTTTAAAAACTCTTAAAAACAACATTTTAAACATATAGTACTACTTATTAATGTTAACTTACTTAAAGACAACCTCTATTGCTTTAGGTACAACCTACTAAAGCATACTATCCCTAACCCTCCAACAACCTACTACCCACCATCCCTAATCTGCGTATTCCTAAACCCAATCCCATTTTTATCGCCATCCATTCCCATAAACAAAATCGATTTTCAAACCCATGTATCGCCATCCCTAAACCCAATCCCATTTTTATCGCCATCCATTCCCATAAACAAAATCGATTTTCAAACCCATGTATCGCCATCCCTAAACCCAATCCCATTTTTATCGCCATCCATATCCCATGAACAGAGATTTTGATGAAATCGATTCCAACCCAATTCAATTTCATCGGTTACAACAGATTCTGAGATAGTATCGATTATATATTTGGCATCTGTCATCCTCACCAAAACATACAAGCAGAGGAGGTAAGCATCATTCGTTAATTTTCCATGTTTTAAGTTTTACGTCGTAGTTGATGTTCTTCTTGGTGCTAGAATCAAAATTAGAGATTTTGATATGGTTGTTCATTGTCCTTCCCTGTTCTTCAAGTTCTTACTATGTGTTCATCTTTCTTCTCCATTTTCACTTCTGGGTTAGGGTTAATTGTGTTTCCATCGATCGATTTGTTGCTCTTCAAGCTTTTGACTTATCTACTGTAAGAGCTTCAAGCTTCTTTGCATCTGCACATCGAGGTAATTTGTTTTCCATTTGTATCAGTTTGATTTTACCCAAATCATGTTTCTTGAAAGTCTTAGGCTTTTTAGTTTGGCTTTCTTTTATCTTCCGTATATAATTGTTCATTGTTTTTATTTATTCTACTCAATGTATGCATCAAATACATACTACTAGATGTAGTTGATTTTCATTTATTTCGATTTTCACAATTGATTTCGATTAACAGGTTTCATTATTGTCTTCCTTTCATTACTGTCCATAATCTCTTCAATCTCCTCCGTCTTCAAAATCTCCTTAGAATCTTAGTGTGTTGTCTTACAATAGGTATGTGATTTTCGAAATGTTTATGAATTTGTGTATTGGTTTTATTTGTGCTTTCTAAATCTAATTTAAGGAACTACTTAGATTGTTTATTGTTGTGATTCAATCCTATTGAAAGTTAAATATGGCACAGGTTCTGCACCTGAGTATATGTTAGGGTCACATGTCAAAACACCATCCACATATTTCCACACCTGAAAAAATGGAAAAAAGAAAAGAATAAATTAGAACTTCTGCCGAAACCACACTAAACTTCAAAAAACACTCTATAGAAGCTTGAGATAGTATTTTTACACAACTTCTAGGGGACGAATACAAACTAAAATTACATAATGAATGAGAATGTGATTTTTTAAGATCTTCACCAACCCGAATTTCTTGCAAACCCAATCCTTTGCCGATGGTTGTAGGAGTCAAATCACTACCACCTCTGCCCCACCGTAGTCACTGCACAAGTTCTCTAACCTTACAATTTATATATGGATTTAAATTAGTCCTTTCGAGATTGTTCAAGTTCGTTATTCATGTAAGAGAACCATCCAAAGAATTTTAGAGAGGATGCAAGAAGTAAAAGACTTTCCCAACAGTAACAATAGGGATCATAGGATCTCTAATCCAATCACCATGTACTCTCTTTGCTACAGCTAGATAAGTTGCTTCAATATCAAATACATCATACTGCATGAAGGAATAAAAACAAAAGCAAGTTGTCAGTAGAGAAAGCTTGACTGGTCTTACCATTTTCGGTCAGGACCGGTCATAGCCGGTTACGAGAAAGCTTGAGACAGCTAGATAAGTTTGCGTGGGTAAACAAAAGCAAGGTGTCCTGTGATTTTCATCACTCAACCGTAGTGATGGCCAAAAACCGATCCTGGGATGATCCTAATCGGTCTCAAGCTTTCTCGTAACCGGCCCTTGGTTTTAAAAAGCGCGATGCGGTCCAATGTGTTAAGGGTCCCGGAAGCCGATGCGTGATGCTGATGCGCTTGCATCACGCACGTGATGCGCCCGGTATTCAAAAACTATTTATAAATTAATTTTACATATCAATTTCTACCTTAAAAATACTTACCTATCAAAATACTTCATTTATAACATAAAGTAGTTAAAAAAAGTGGCATTAGAATCTTAAAAAGTTCGTGAATCAGAATAACAGAAGTACAGAACACACAAACTACTACCATGAAGAACACAATTACACAAGTAAATGTCTAATAGTCCCAATCCCTAAACTAAATGACCAACCAAGTGACCAACTAATACTCCCCAAGATCAGCATCATCAAAYCCCAACACGGGTTCATCTCCCTCATCATTATCAAATCCTCCAATATCTGCTTTCACCTCAACTTCGTCATCTTCATCCTGAAGAGCATGTTCTTTTCCTCTATCACTTCTAGCTCTTGATGGACCCGACCCATCATCGTTTACTCTCCGGCTCCCTCTTGATGCTCTAGTGAAATGAGGAGTCTCATACCCCCCGGAAGCTCTACCTACGTCAACCCACGTAAGATCATCATCAATAAATACCAAATCATCATCTTCATCATCATTGTCCATCCTCCCCATCAACCACTCATTACTTTCATCTATGTCTTCTAGGATGATAGGATCACTACTTCCCTCCTTCTTATATTTACGTTGCAAGGCACGATTGAATTTCACATAGACCATGTCATTCAATCTTTCTTGTGCTAATCTATTCCGCTTCTTGGTGTGAAGCTGTCAAAAGTTTAATTGGATATTAGTTGATATATTTAAAATTAGATACCGAATTTATAATGTCATGTACGACACTTACATGTTGAAACACACCCCAATTTCTCTCGCAACTTGTAGCACTACAAGTAAGACTAAGAACTCGTATAGCAAACTTTTGCAAGTTGGGAGATGAAGATCCAAATGTTGTCCACCACTCCGCTATAAGGAACAAATATTTAAAAAGTAAAATATCCATAGTGTGTAAGTAACCAAGTATAAAAATATATTTTCAATTTAAGATGATTACCTGGTGCCATTGCCTTCCTTTGCCTAATAGCCGCATTTCTACCAAATAGTCCTTCCGTATTTTGATACTTGCCTAATTCTCTTAAGATTAGGTCTTCTACTTGAGGACTTGGAGCCAATCTTTCAATGCAAGAATGTAAACCTTCCATGACTTCTTCACAACTTACAACCCTTTGTGCATTATCATAAAAGGTAGACGGGTTTAGGTAATGGCCCGCGGCATGCAATGGTCAATGGAGTTGACATTCCCACCGATTATCAATTATTTCAAATGTTTTCTTGTAAAGGTCCTCTTGATTGGGAAAGCTTTTAGCAATAGCCTCCTTATCCCTATCCATAGCTTCATAAATATAACCCATGGCAGACTTTCTTTCCCCGTCAACTAACCTAAGAACACTAACAAGAGGGCCCGTCAACTTGAGAGCATACACAATATTTCTCCAAAACGTCTCTTGTAAGATGTAGGAGTGCAACATCTTTCCCTTTGGTTCACTTGACCATTTGCTATCCATCCATTCTTGAGAAGTAACCATCTTTCTCAAGTTATTCTTTTGTTTGTGAAATTGAAGAAGAGTGATAAAAGATGTAGCAAATCTTGTGATTACGGGCCTATGCAAGTTCCTTTGATTCGTGAGCTTCCGCATCAAGTTCACTAGACCAACAAAGTTGTATATGTATCCATTGGCAAACATTGCTTTCTTCAAACAAATTTTCACCCGAGGAATTTGTTTCCCGATATCCTCTAACATAAGATCTATGCAATGGGCAGCACATGGAGTCCAATAAAGATGCTTTCTCGTAGCTTCTAGCATCTTCCCTTTAAAGTTTAAAATAAAAATATTAGGTGACAAAATACATAGTAGTATTAAACATACATAATATTATTATTACATATATAATATTATTAATATATAAATTATAATTAGGAATAGACTAAAATAGTAACTCATACCCGCTTTAACGTACGCAGATGCATTATCGGTGATCACTTGGACTACATTTTCTTCTCCAACATCATCCACCATTTTATCAAGAATCCCAAACAACAAATTTGCGTCTTTAGAGACATCGGAAACATCCATAGACTTCACAAATACATAACCCCTTGGAGAGTTCACCATAAAGTTAATTATGTCTTTTTGGACAACCGAATCACGCCATCCATCTGATAAAATAGAGCAACCTTTTTGGGCCCATTCCTTTTTATGTTCCTTTATTTCTTCTTCAACGGTTTTTACTTCTTGGTTGAGTAAAAGGACTCTTAGCTCATACATGCTTGGTGGTTTCATTCCAGGGCCAAATTGGCCAATAGCTTCAATCATTACACTAAAGCTATCATAAGTAGTGGCATTAAAAGGAATGCCGGCATCATAAAACCACCTTGCTATTTACGTACAAGCTTTATCCCTTAACTCCTTTCGAACCACTGCATTTATGGTTTGTTGTATCCCTCCTTTTCCATCTTTTTTACCTTTGATCACGTCTTTAGGATTAGGAGTGAAGAACCTATCTAGGGGACCTTTTTGTCTCGGTCTTTTT